AAATATCAATACGGAGAAGGAATATTACGCTAATTTCTGGTCATATATCCTATAAACTCCTATATGATTCATTGTAATTTGAGTCAAGGACCGCCTATAGCTTCCGGCTCCTTTTCCTGGAAATGCACTCACATCATATTTTAAGTTTCTGGATTATGGTATTAAGTTTCAAAATATTGATCGATTTTTTAAACCAGTCTGTGATGAGCAAAAAAAATTTAAGAGGATTATCCGCCCTATGAGGCAATCTATGGGGAAGGTTTTTCAGCAGTGGACTTTTGATAGGCTGTACTGGAATGGTAATTATAATGTGATTGATTACATAAACACAATTTTCACTTTTTAATTACTATTTATAACAATTACACATATAATTTACAATGTAAATATATTGTTATTTATTTTATGAATTAAGTTATGTTTATATTCATGGATAGGATAATTCGTTTTAATTTAGTAAAAGCAAAACATGTTTTAGCAGAGAAGTGCTTCAAGATAAACTTTGATATCGAAGATGTCCCGGCTCTGCAGTAGGTACTTGATTGAATTCACACAATGGACTTAAGTTGTGCATAGAGCATTGTAGTTTAGCTAGCGACTTCGAAACTTAAGATTAGTTTTACGTACTTCATGTGATTTGTCATTTTACCGACTACTCTTATATTCTTGTATTTTCCTATCATAAAATGATATTACAGTTTATTTAAATCATAGATAACCAGTAAAAGTTATAATCAACAAAGTGAATGCATATATTTTTTCAAATAGTACAATAATTGTTACTTTTTGAAATCCAAATATAAATGAATAACTATGAATGCCACCATGTCATACAAAACTATGCTCGTGTATCTTCTACAGCCCGTTGCATCATAACTTTTCTCCAAGTACATACATATTACTTACTCTTTCCATTGGATAAGGAAAGGTTTATTTTTTAACTTTTTTAAGTTAACTTAAAATATTACAAGCATAATAATTGCATATGCTATATATATATAGCATAAGCAAAATAAAATAAGTCAACAATTAAATAATAAGTAAAACCTATTTATTAAAAAAAAAGAGTCATAGTAACATCGGTTCACAATTGACGAAGACGCCACTTAACATAATGCAAAAAAAAAAAACAAAACAAAAAAAGGTAAACACATACAAACATACATGAGAACCTCCTCCGTTTTGGAATCGGCTAATAACTGCATCCAAACGATCCGACCTAATTAACGTTCGATATAGAACAAGAAAACATCGCTGGAAATCGCATCGTTAACGCTTTACGACTTCGACCTTCGGAAATTATATTTGGGACACAGTGCCGCGTGCGAAAAAAATTTATGAGTGTTGTCGTATCGATGTATAAAAAGATCCCTGTTTTATAATAAAACTATCCATTAAAAGTTCAACACGCTTCAGTAATTCACGCCCATCAGTACTAATTACGAGTAGTATAGTACAGTTCAACCATGGAAGAAGCACGTAAAGACCAATAAATACTAGTGCAAAGTAGTACTACAATGATATCACTTCACGGATCATTCCAACCTCCCAACTGACTCTCCAACCCTCTATGGTCGGTCAGAGTTAATCTCGAGTACAATGTAAAAATTTTTGTAACATAATATTGTTTAGTCATCTTTTTCAAAATAAAAAATAAACTTTTTTGTTTTCTTCCATTAATATTTCCAACAAATTAAATATTATTTCTAGCAATTTTTTTGTATACATTATTACCTTTTTTAACTGGTTACAATGATACTAATATATTTGCAAATCGAATAAGATCAGAATTCTAGCTGCGCGCGCTAAAAATATTTTTTGAAGTTATTTCGGGGCGTTTGGGAAAAATGATGAGTGTGATTTTTTTACGATGCACTCGCACACTGACACCTAAAAGCGACAACTTCAGTGAGTAATTGTCTCTCAAGTTTTTTTGTTTTGTTACGCTAAAGAAGTATAACTTTCTACGTGCGTATATAAGTACACACACACTTTTTTAACTTTATATTACTTTTCATTTTTTTTTGTTTACATATAATTGTGTATGAATTTCGACATCGACAAAGCTTTTCATCTGTAGACAAATGTTGTAAAAGCAATCCGCAATATCTCTGAACAGGTAATTAAAAAAAAAACAAAAACAAAAACAAATGTATTCACATAAGTTTATCGTTCCATCGGAGTTTGTTAGAAAAACCTAGCATGAACATTACAACGCGATAACATCGGGTTCGATTATGAGCGATGTTGCAACTAATTGATACACGCCGCGGTCGCTACGTGAGCAAACATAAATTTCTCATGTCGTATCAAAGCTTTGAGCTAGAAAAATGTAATGTAAACAGTCGTATTTCATCTCAGCATAACATCGCCTAGATGGATTACGGCTGGCGGACGTCAAACCGCTCCGCCGAGCACCCCATTCGGACCGACGCTAATTTTTGCGGACTCGTTCGACGGGTCATTCCCGCATTCCGGTTGTCATCATTTCTGGTACTTTTTTTTAATGATTTGAAATTATTAAATCTATGTACAATTATTATTTTATGTAGTTAGAATAACGATTAGGAAAATAAATGTAAAAATTAAACGTATAATACATTTCTAGAAATTATTTAGGACAACTTCAAATCGGTTAATTTTGTCGAACAGCAACAGAAAAAATATTGAATAGCATGTATACAATAGAAAAACGTGCTAAGACATTGTGTATAGAAGAATTAAACCGTCGGGGGTATAGAATGTGAAATTATTATTTTTTTATTTCTTTGAAGCCGGCTTTTACTTTAAATTAACTTTAAGTGGACTAAGTAATATATAAAAAAGAAAAAATGCAAAGCAGAAAGAATTATTTATATTTGGCGCCCCTAAACAAGAATCTGGCGATATGATAAATCTATTCGCTTGACACTCTTAAAGATCAGTGATGGTGTTTCCAACGACGGTTACTGAAGCGCCAGCCAGTGAATATCGTTGACGTTATTTCCAATAATATTTGTGTGTCAGAATATCAACAGATCTTTTCATGTAAACTTTGGTGGCATGTATTAATTATGATTTACATTTGTTTTAATACTCGCATATTTCTTCTGTGAGATCATCAGTCAATGAGTTGCGAGTGAGAGAACGTTCCATTGTCTTAAGACCCGTCTGAATACTTTCGATTTTAATTGTAACGAAAACTGTAGAATACGATTTAGCAAATATTAGAGATTATCTGCACATCGGCATTGTGACTCCAAAGCAGCATTTGGCCATTTGTTTATAATTGTTTGGATGTTTAGCTGAAAATTACATTCACTTTAAAAAATATTGTATACGTATACTTTATATAAAAGAGTAGTGTAATTTAATTTACATTAAAAATAGCCGGAGAATATTAATTATCAAAAAAAAATATAATTGGTTTATACAAAATAAAAAAGGAACGGAGAATTTATAAACAAACTCAATAATGCTTACTCGGCCGAGGCAATGAGTGAGCTTACAATTGATTAAAGACTTTTGTCAAACGCTTCTTCTGAGAAGCCGCATTTTCGGCGTCTAATGAAAGAAAAACAACATCGATCCTGGTGTTGAATGGTCGCTGCGATCGTTAATACTAAATTTACTTTGCAGCGTCGAGAACTAAAGATGCCATAGAATTCGACATTACTGATGGAACGATTATGAGAAATTTAACAAATTCCTTGAAGCAACATTTTTGAAGATAGAAGAAAATGATTTTGAAGACACAAGAATAACTTTAAGCGGAATAGATAATTATAAAAGAGGAGTTATAATGTTTTGAATTTGATCGACACATTGGCTTGGCTTGGGCTTATGTGTATTGCTTGCTTTATTTTTTATACATATAATAAACAGTGTTATTTCAAATTTTATGTAGTTAATAATCATTATTCTTTTTTTTAGTTCTTTGAGTCACATAACCGTCTCATTGCCACTTCAGCTAACCAATCCGTTGAGCACGGTCGTTAACGTAGGTTCTATTGTAGATACCTTTGTTATGAATTATTTTCTATTCTTCTTCTATTTATAGCTCGCGGAGATTACTTTGAGCTTCATTATATGGCTGGTGGTTAAGAATCACGTCTCAATACAGAATCAGAAGATGTGTCGAAATTTTTCAAATCGATGTTAGCCTAGAAGCTTACCAGGCAGCTTGTCTTAGGAAACAACTTCAATTGTCAAATTCTCAGAACCACCAATATAGATTTGACATAAACCTTCGACTTGACCTTAGTCTAGGCCTTGTTTATTCTGTTGTACTTATGTTAAATCATTAGTCATATGGAAAGTATAGTGCTTGGATCTTCTAGCGAATTTTTCTTAATGATTATATCGTCGGAAATTAAATGTTGAATGATGTACTCTCCATCGATGTTAATATAAAATGATTTATGGCATATCATGCATATCGTACTATGCTGAGCATAGCCCTATGTACTAGAATATACTAATAACAAAATATTTTCAATATATTATTAATAAACTCGAGTAAAACAATGTAGGTAAACATATTCGACAGTACTTGACATGGATAAAACTAGTAAACATTGCATTTATTAACCCATTTGCGCCCTCTGTACCAAATAAACGACACCTCTTCAAATCCTAATTTCAAAAATACCACTTTATCTATTGATGAATTAATCTACATAATTACTGACAGATGTCACTATTAACAATATTAATTGAAAAAAAAATTATTGACTATGACATTGCCGCTCTTTTTTGACATTTATCGGATACATTAATTTTCGTAAAGAGGTAAGTGCTTTTATTTTTATTTTTTCGTGTATTTATTATGTTTTTTGACACAATTTTTTTACCATATGAATAAATAATAATCAAACGTTAATGAAATCTTAAAATGCTATATATCTTTTTGCCATTCCTAAGATTTACGGATTGATTTAGTTGACTGTCGTTTTTTTAGTACAATGGGCACACGTGATATAATATTGTTTTTCTCTTTTATGCAGATCTTACATGATAAAATGTCAGTGTTTCGAGCTTGTAAAAATTTTATTGGCCTAGAAGAAGCTGTCAATGCTATAGCGCAAGAAGAGAGCGACCAAGAATATGATGTGGTGATTTTACCACCAGATCCAGCTATGGTTACTGACGAAGAAGAAGGCGAAGATGACTTGCAGCCGTCGGATTTACCTAGAGAAGTACCAGGAATATTGGAGGTAATGCGTCGACGTCATGACTCTACTGAATGGGAAGACAGTGATGATGAACCTTTGGACAACAAGCGGAGCCGCCAAGACTCACGTGATTTAGTGCCTAAGTGGAGACAATGTATGCCATCTTACTCAACTTCATCTCAATTACCTGACAATACATGTTCGTCACGAAAAAGCCAGGTAATTAACCAATTACAAGGATTATCACCTGTTGAGATTTTCGAAAAAATATTTGATGACGAGGTTTACGCTATGATTATACGTAATACGTTATTATATGCAGGACAAAAAAATAGACATGGTTTCGAAATAGATCAAGATGATATGCGCCGATTTTTAGGAGTGCTTATCCTATCTGGATATCATAAATTACCTAGAGAACGGCAGTATTGGAGCTATGACGAAGACCTTGGAATACCACTTGTGACAAATTCTATCTCTCGAAATCGGTTTCTGGATATAAAAAGAAATCTCCATTTGGTAGACAATAGTTTAGCTAGTGCTTCTCAAGACAAAATGTTCAAAGTGAGGCCATTGTGTGATATCTTGATGCAAAAATTCTCTCAATTTGGCGTTTTTCATGAAGACATATCGATCGACGAGTCTATGATAAAATATTATGGCCACCACTCATCAAAACAGTTCATAAGAGGTAAACCCATCAGATTTGGTTATAAAAATTGGGTAGCTGCTAGTTCTGATGGGTACAGCTACTCTTTCGATTTGTACTGTGGTAAAACAGCTGAAATTTCAAAAGCACCACTTGGTACTAGAGTTGTAAAGTCGTTACTGAATAAAATGCCGACAATACCAGAAGAGCATACAGTGTATTTCGACAACTTTTTTACTAGTTGTGATTTATTGAGAGACTTGAAGGAGTATGGATATAAAGCTACTGGGACAATACGTGATAATCGGACAAAGAAAATATCATGAAAAAGTCCGCAAGAGCAGAATTTGATTATAAGTTTGATATAAATAATGAACTGCTGCTTGTTAGGTTGAAAGACAATAGCGTGTGTACCATAGGTACAAACTTTGATACAATTGAACCTATTGGCAAAGTAAAACGCTGGTGTTCACAGAATAGACAAAAAGTAGACGTGAGTATTCCACGTTTATTCCTAAACTACAATAAAGGGATGGGCGGCGTTGATGAGATGGATGGATCTATTTCATTGTATCGCGTAAGTATTCGTGGAAAAAAAGGGTGGTGGGCTATTTTCACATACTTGCTTGATATGTGTATATCTAACGCTTGGCGTCTGCATACTTTGGCTGGTAGCGAGTGCTTGGACCAGTTGGCTTTTAGGAGAAATATAGCACGAAATTATCTTCAACTTCGTAATTGCAACAAAAGCCGCCGTTCTGGTTCAACCATAGGTGGTCTAAGCCCAAGTAACAATGGACATAATCCAGGAAAACTACCTAAACAATTACGATGTGTTATATGCCATACTCGCATAAAGTGGCAATGTATACGGTGCCAGAAAACTCTGTGCATTGATAAAGAATGTTTCAGAAATTATCACTCATAAGTGCCCACTGTACTTCAAATAGTACACCCTGAAAAACCACCTATTTTTATTTTTTCTTTAATTCTAACTACTAGCCATGAGTAATATAGGCCTAAGTATCCCATAAATAAAGAAATATATAAATAAATACAAATGAGTTTTATTTGGGGGTAAATGGGTTAAGACAAGAAATATTCGATCGGAAATTTTTATGCCATGAGTAAGCGTTCGGTCAGTTGACTTAACGATATAAAAATCTTTACTTAGACGACCTCGATTACACGTAGGCGTATGAAACTGTGGGAAATAATTCGAGCAGGGTAATGTTTACTAAAAATTTAAGAAAGTGTTAACAAGCATTTGGTAAGTGAGAGTGTTGTTTGGTGAGTCAATTAGTGAAAGAAAACTGCAAAAATAATATTTTGAATTTTCATACTATCTTCTTATTCATGTGCTTCATTACTGAAGGTCGTGCTTGTCCTGAAATGCTTTCACCGATGTGTCGACTAGCTCCCTCCATACCATATTACGAATAAAATGATGCGTTTATAATGTTAAGTTTTAACTTAAAAAAAGTATGCAAAACGAATATCAAATACCTAAAATACAAAGCAATTTGGAAATTTATACATTATTGAAGATTATTTATCCTTGTCCCTACTTAATGATATCTTATATTTACGCGAACACTACACATTTTTAATAAAACTAATTTTACGGATTTTATCGCGTATATTAACTTATTTTTATATATTCCCGACGTTTCGGGTGCTTTCCAGCACCCGTGGTCACGGGGGACTGAGTTGTTTGACGTCCTGCTGTCATAGTTAGCCCGGCTACCTTCAGTTTTTTAATATTAATTTTTGGTTCGATTTACGCAGAATGAGCTTACAGTATCTTGAAGTCTAGCAGTGGTATACTTGGGTTTGGATTTGATTTTATTAATTATGGGATCCCAAGCAGATGGCAGCACCCATCCATCTTCTCTATTGAAATTAGGATGTTTTTTAATTTCAATAGCCTCGCGAATCATCCTTGGGAGAAGGAAAGCCCTTCTTACTGCTCCTGTAAATCCAAGATTCTACAAGCGGTACGTAGACGATACTTTCACAATTTTACCATCTAACAAAGTAACTGCATTTTTAAATCACCTTAATTCCATAAACCCTAAAATACAATTCACAATGGAGTTAGAGGCAAACAATACTTTAGCTTTTCTAGATGTTTTAGTCATCCGAAATCCTGATAACACTATTGGTCATACTGTGTACAGAAAAAATACCCATACCAACCGATATTTAAATGGTGAATCTCACCATAATCCTTCACAGTTAGCTACCGTGGGAAAATCTTTGTTTCAGAGAGCACGAGGGATCTGTGACAGAAAACATCTGGCCGCCGAGCTTCAGCACGTCGAGCAAGTACTGCAAGACAACAAGCTTCGGGTCCCGCGCCTACATCACAGTGACCGAGTGAAGCCAGCCACAGTCGAGCGTGTGCCTGCTGTACTACCCTATGTCAGAGGAGTCACAGACAAGGTTGGCTACATCTTGAAGCGAGCTTCCATTAAAACGTACTTCAAGCCGCTGAAGAAGATTAGTCAATTTTTACCATCCGTCAAGTGTCAAATCCCTCTACAAGATGCAGGAGTGTACAAGCTGGATTGTGAATGTGGTCTCTCGTACATAGGACAAACAAAAAGATCTATTAAAACCCGCGTTAAAGAACATATAGCTGACGTGAAGCACCGACGTATAAGAAGTCTGCAGTTTGTGAACATGTTCAAGATCGTCCCCGCCATTACATTAGATTTGATAGACCACAAATCCTCGCAAAAGAACACCGATTCCTCCCAAGGATGATTCGCGAGGCTATTGAAATTAAAAAACATCCTAATTTCAATAGAGAAGATGGATGGGTGCTGCCATCTGCTTGGGATCCCATAATTAATAAAATCAAATCCAAACCCAAGTATACCACTGCTAGACTTCAAGATACTGTAAGCTCATTCTGCGTAAATCGAACCAAAAATTAATATTAAAAAACTGAAGGTAGCCGGGCTAACTATGACAGCAGGACGTCAAACAACTCAGTCCCCCGTGACCACGGGTGCTGGAAAGCACCCGAAACGTCGGGAATATATAAAAATAAGTTAATATACGCGATAAAATCCGTAAAATTAGTTTTATTAAAACTTGTCCCTACTTTTTCATTTTTTATTAAATATTTTAACAATAAAGCAATTCATAGTAATGTTCATTTAATGATTATATACACGTAGAAGAATGATTTTTCATAACGATGTTCAAGACCACAGGCTTATAACTAAAGTTGAATTATGGAAGGTTCTTCAAATATGTAGTTGTAAGTACGTGAAGAATTCTTCGATCACGTTGTGTGTCACGTTTTATGAATGTAGCCGTGTGTCCGGCTTAGGCATGCAATATGTATAGGTGGCTTATCAGGCTGTTAAATTAACAACAAAGTATAGACTTCACCTAAAAGCCATAATGTGTAAACCGCAATTCATGGATAGGTTTAAAATGTAGAATGTGGTGTAAACTGTAACAAAAGATAAATGAAATAGTTTACATCGCAACAAAAGGAATTTTAAACTACATACATTTAAAAATTAAAATTTTCTTTGTGATTTCTTGCTGCTATTTCACCTTACGTATACAGAGTTATTTTGCAATAACCGGCCAATTTGCAGAGAAGGTTCAGAATAAGTAATATAGACAAATGAAGAATTAACTTAAAAAAATCTCAAACATTCTGTCCTTTTTTTAAATTCCAAATGCGTGGTAATGCGTTATTTTTTGGCTACTCATTGAAAAATAACCCTGTATGTAGGGTGGCATTTGAATGTTTTGTTTCTAGGTAATTTTATTTTCGGTAACATGATGATGACGTATACTAAACTACTAAGCTTGTAAAATATTAATCAAAATTCAGAGTTGGATAAATTTGTGGCACACGTGTTACGTCTTATTTTGCGTTGTACTGAATACGAATGTACGCTGCTCCGCAATTTATAGAGACAAATTTCTGCTCCTGTAGTTAACTATTATAGTGACATGTTGATTGTAATGGTAAAATTCAAAATTACATTAAAACTCACAAAAACATCCAACTGTTCAAACATTTTGTTTCTCCTAGATAGGACAACCTATCGAGAATTGATAGCAATTCGTGTTGTATTCTGTTTAATAAAATATCCCACATTCCGCACCAAGGTCTTGATGAAATTTTAAACTTGAACTATGCATTTGAACTTAGAATGAGTAAGCACAAGAGATTTTCTTTAGAAACGTTGCCTTGCATTGCGCAGCCACATTGTACGGCTTTAAGTTCTTATTGTCACAGCTGTATGTGTGTACAATTTACAACGCTTCGGGAAGTTTTGTTGCTTTAATAAACGTTTTATTTACTTGCGCTTTCTACCCGTGTTGCTCTTTTAACTATATACAGACTTATTAGAAGCAAGTAAAGCCAACTTATGTGTATTGTTATTTAAAGTTTTATTAAGAATAAAACAAAAACGTTCTTAAATGAAAAATATTTTTTTCTTCACTACATTTACGTGACATCACAAATATGATATAGGGCAAGTAACAAACATCAGAATATTCGTTTATTTTTTGATACACATATTAAATAAATTGGTGGAGAACCGGAGCACAAGCTAGGATATCCCTGTTTTTAAGGACTCCAGATTTCTCGCTCGCATTGTATTGTAGAACAATTAAGTGAAGAAAAAGTAGTCGAGTAGTAATATAAATCTATTACTATTATGAGAAATATGCGTTCGTGCGTATGTGTGTGTGAGCGCGCGCCTGTGTGTGACAGGGGAATAAACAAACTTTTTATTTTTTCATAATTTCCGTAAGACAAGTCCTGACGAGTGAATATTCTAAAATTAATAGTTATGTTATTAACTTAGTGATCGCATGACACCCTGGAATAAAAAAAATAGTACCTGCTAACGTATTTCTATAAAAGAGTAAGGAAGGATGAAAAATTCCAATAGGTGAAAATATATTAAGCGCAGTGTGATTATAAATTACGCAGTGTTATCTCTTATGAGAACAGCAAACATTTTTCGCGCTCACCACAGATAGCATCGTGTTTGATATCAAAAGCCGTGTTTGGTTATGAGACCGTTACAGAGTTGATTAAACCGAAGCCGACATTCGTGACGTAACCAAGTTGCGCCTTTAATAAAATATTATATGTTTGGGACTGAGAGCGAATTTGAGAAATATTTAACTTTATTAGTTGTTGTATGAAAAATATAAAGAATTAAAAAATTAAAAAGAAATAAAATAATTACCTACTTCAATTAATTACTATAATATATACTTTTACTTCTTCTATATACTTATATACTTTTAACCAAGGCTGTAATAAATTTTTTTA